AAAAAAAAAAAAAAAAAAAAAAAAAATTGAAGTTCAATGTTTTCAGTTTCTGACATTTAATCTCCATTATCATACTTTAATTTAAAACTGAACAATGAATTTAAGAAACATACAATGGCTAGCCTGCTGTTCTAGAGACCACACAGTAGATTAGGGTAGCAGATACAGCCTTATATAGATCCCTAATGAAATACTTCTTAAACAGAGGGATCAAAGAACAATCACAAAAATATACGTGTATATATGGCTCTTTAGATAAGAAATAAAGTCAAGTGAAAAAATAAGGCACTAATAACATAAATGTTACATACTCATCACACAGCACCATATGGAACCTTAAGGAACTAAACATCAGCGTACTGGAAAATGAGAATGGGCCGTTTCTCTGGCTTTTATTCACCAACTTCTTCCTCTCTTTTCAGTAGAAATATTAAAGTGGTGAAAAAAGTTATGTACCATGGAGAATTCATAGAACCAACAGCATGAAACAATCACTGGGAAATAAGTTGATTATTCTAATGATGTAAGAAATCCGGTCCTTTAAATACTCCTTATTTTCCAGCATTTTCATCTCAGGTGAATTTCTTTTTCCTGCACAATTTCTTTTCAGATGTCTACATACTAACATTGTCAACTCTCTTATTTTATTTTCATCTGCTTTTTCCCTAAAATACATTCAAAATGGTTTCTGCCAAAGTTTTATAAATATCAAAGTGAATATTATTAATGAAATGACTTAAAGATAAAAATTAAAGAAATTTCTTCAACCAGGCTCATTTTAAACATTACAATAATATGCATGTGGTTTGGAAAATGGCTATGAATTTCACAGGAAACTTTATATAATATCATGACATGGACAAGGTCTGGTACAGACTACTAGTGAGAGTTCTTCATCTTAAAATTAAGAAATTTCTCTTCACTTGATAGTTAGTGAAAATATAAATCAAATAGTCTAATATTTAAATAGATGACAATTAGTCCTTAGAACTTCAATTTCTGAATATATAATAACAGGTGAAAGACCCACGATTTTTAGCAGCTCACATTATTTTTGAAAAGGAAAATGTAAATAATTGTCTGCAGTTTTGCCATAGATATATTTGTTCCAAGAAACTGTCTAATCAATTTTGTTTAAAATAGAAACAACTAATCCTTAGTAAGCTAGTACAAGGTAGTAACATTGTGTTCCGCCCACACAGTTCTTTCTGCCATCTCATAGAATTTGCTACTTTGTATGTTAATGATTGCTTTCATCATTGGTAAGATTGTCAATTATTTTCAAATTAAACATCTGTAACCAATTTTGTCAAGGTAAATGGATTTCATATGAAGTATCAGGTTAGTCTTTATAATACATGCATAATTTTATTTATGATAAAAATGATTCGAGTACAGTAGTCACATCATAAAAGCTGTTAGCTGTCAGATGGAACTTAAGAAAGGGCTTTAGCAAAAGGATGCGTAGTTAGCTGATATAAATCATGATACTTTATATAGAATTTACTTATAAATAAACATAAAGCATGCTATTTTTTGAAAGATTGAAAAATTCATATATGTATATAAAATATTTTGTTACTGTTTCCTTGAAACAGTAACAATATATAGGCTATAAAGTACTGTGTTAATAAATAGCCTATTTTTCCTAATTAGACTAGATTACTAAGAAATTTCCCCAGCAGAGGCTTGGGATAAACATGTCACAGATGTGCAGGGAGCAGATGACTGATAGCACAGGAAAAGCCTGACAAGTCATTAGTCTAACAACCTCTAGGGCGTTTGAACACTCACATAGGATTCTCCTGAATTTCTCCGTATTACGTATTAATTTACACTAAACCTGTATTGTGTGGCTTATGTCTAAATCACACGAATGAAAATATTGAACATTTATAGATGACAAAATGGTAGCTCTGAATAGGGTTAGTACCAGTGCCACCACTGTGGTCTATTTTAGATCAAGAAATCTAATGACGCTCAGAGCGTGAACCCATGGTCGAATCTTATATGCAAATGCTACATTACAGAAATGCACCAGACTCCAAGCTGTAGGACTTTCCAGGGAAACGAAGAGCAGCAAGAGAGCCACAGCACCTCCGGTGAAGCGGGAGTGACTTCCGGTGCGGCTGGAGGCCCGTCTGCGCGCACTTTCAGCCCAGCCAGTTTTGCTAATGCAGCTTGGATGGAAGGGAAAGTGAGAAGCAATTTCTGAAGCCTGACTCCCCAGTGCTGCTGAGCCCTCAGGTTTCACTCTGTTGCAGATAGCTAAGCAGAGTCCTTTAACTTCTACGAGAAGAGGGACAAGTGCTACAGGCATTCCTGATACATTTTAATTTACAGACAAAACAAAGATAATGTACACTGGCTATCAGTTAAGTTAGGGAGCCTGTTCAGTGTGGGATTTCCTTTCGCCAGAGGGGAAGCAGTTGGTGGCCAGACAGTTTATTCTGCACTTGGCCAAGCTATGAAGTGCATTGTGGAGGCAAAGAGCAGCTGAGGAATCTAAGACTTTGAAGATAGGTTCTGGATGTTGAAGTAGGCAGGGATCACTGCAGAAGCAAAGGAAGATCGCTCAGTATTCAGGATGGGTCGGAGTGACAAAAATGTGGCATAGAATTGAAAAGCAAAGAAATATTTTCTAGGTTAGTAAGTCTGCATAACTTAAGCGATGCAGACGTAAATGCAATGAATGAAATGTTAGAAGGCAAAAGAAATGGCAAAGAAAGGCAGTGGCGATGACTTGTGTATTTTTTGCAACTCACCGCATTTTAAGTTCAAATTGTTTTATTCTCAGCCACATCTTTAGCCAAAAGAAAAGAATAGTTTCTGATATGCATTACATAGCTCCAGCATTGAACTTCTCTCTGATATGTTAAATTGGCAATCAACCTTGTGATGTCAAGGACAACAGTCTCAAACTCCTGTGGCTCTGGTTACTGGATGTGGAAAAAGTCCGGACTCCAGGCCTAGGATAGCAATGTTGGCACAATACTCGGTTCTGTCCTCAATTTCAAAGCTATGAAATCACACCTACTCCGCATTTCCCTCTGAAAGGCCTGTGCCACTGCACACAAAAAGCAACACTTCACATCTCAAATATTTCGTAAATTTTGGAATTCTTGATTTTGTGCAGACCATGCTTTTATGATTGTACAAAATTATTTCAGCTTCATCCAATTACTTCACATGTATATCTAGCAACTGTAGATATGCATATTAGAATGTGATTTTGGAACTCAGGTTTCCATATTAGGAAGGAAAATATCATTTGAAATTGCAATGAGTTGAACAATACAAAATAAGCTCAAATGGTCTTGATTTCCCATGTTTCTGGTCAGAGTTGTTTCTTTTTATAAAACTTGTAAACTATGTCAATGCAATTAAAATCTTGAATAGAAATTCATAGTATTTTAAAGAAATATTTCAACTAAGTTATCAGGTAATAAGATCTGTTAAATATTAGTCATTATATTTGAGCCCCAGGCAAACTGTTGATAACCAGTTTCCAGGATTACTGTTATTTTACAAAGTGCTGCATTTCTTTCAGGTATGTTGTACTTGTTTCAAATTTTTTAGCTACCGATTCTCCACAAATCTGAAGAGATGAACACCTGTTTGGTAACACTTCTACTCCCTTCTATTAACATGTATATATTAGTTGCCTTATGCATGTCATTAAGGTGTTAGATGCCACAAGTATTTCAAAGGGCATGATGGAATTTTAAGGCTATCACAGACAGCAACATAAAAATATGGCACTGATCACAGGAAAAATGACTTCAACAGCAGGGATGGATTTCAAATATAGAAGGATGAGCAAATTATCAATGTGAATGCTCACACTAAAGGAGTATGTGCCACTTGCTTATAAAGACAAAGCCTAAAATGGCTTTTCGTATGAATGTTCTTACTTTCATACTTAAAAGTACATCAGTGAATCTCATTTAGACCACTAGCATCTTTATATAATTCAGCAGGCAGCATAAAAGTCAAATGTCAACACAGCTGCGTTTAACAAGGAAGTTGGGATGCTTTAGCTGATGGGTTCAAATTGGACAGGCATCAGGGCTCGAGGGTGGCATGGGGATGGTAGGTCAAAAGTAAAGGGTCAGCGAGGACGCTGGGATGGAGAGATGGGGCCACAGAGCAAGGGACATCCTGACAGCACACAGAAGGAATCTTGATCCCAGGGGAAGAAAGTACGGGGAAAGCCATCATGCTGTAGCCTGACTGCTATGTAACCATCTGTTCCCCTCAGGACCCAACAGCACCTGTCAGAAAACAAAGGTGGTGGCAACAGGATGCTGACTGTACCTACAGCTTTGGGCCCCTCCTCTCCTGACTCCGTATCTGGAAATCCCCCAGGAGGAGGAGCGACGCTCACTACAGAAGGAACATTGCAGGTTCCATAGTCCGTGGTCCTCCCACCAAGCCTACGGAATCTTTCCTCTGTCAGTTTGGCATGGTTCACGTTTTAAGAGCAGGCAATCCAAAAATCAATTCATCTTTCTCACATGATCCGAAAGACATTTTATTTTTATTGCAAAATGAGTAATTTTCTTGTATATGTTTTGGCAAGGCATTTATTTGGTGACTCAAGCAGGGAGGAAGTTATCCTTCCAAAGATGCTTTTCTTTAAAACTTTCACACTCCTTGTACAAGCTTTCTTTTACTAACAAATACATTTCTATGATCTTATTTTCTGAAAATTCCCGCATTACTATTAAAAACATCAGATAAAAACCAAATAAAAAATCTATGGATGTGCTCACATAAGGTGAAAAAGAGATAGAAAAAGGTCTTCACTAGCTCTTTGTAAGAAAGAAGTGAAAGCAATCTTGATGCCCACTCAACAGGAGTCAGTCAGTCCTACAGTGGATTACATGGTAATTTACAAAAGAGTGAGGTAAGTCTATATAAACTCTTATGCAAAGGTATCTATCAATATATAATAAAATGTAAGAGTCACAGCAAAGTAAGATTATTCTATTTGTATAAAACTAATAAATGTGATGCATATACACAACACACACATTTGTAAATTTTTAGAAAATGTTTGCAGGAACACCTACCAAACCATGAACAGCGGCTACCCCTATAAAATAAGGGGCGGGGTAAATGGGGATTTGTACTTCATAACTCTATGTAGCTTGGCTTTTAAGGGAGCATATATTAAATTTATAATAAAAACATATAAAACAAGCCTTGGATAGAAAGGTATTTATTTCATGTGCACACATCTGTTTCTAAAGTAGTTTTCAGAATTTATCCTAAAAGTTACTCCTGTTTCAGCTTCAAAGTTGGCACTGATATATAAATAATCCTTTTCTCTTTTCATCTCTCTTTTAAAGATCTTGAAACTTAGTAAAAAAATTCACAAATAATTACTTTAAATTACCAGCAGGGAAAAGCCTAATATCTAGCCACCTTTAAAGAGAAAAAGGCATATATTTACTTTTAAAGTGATGTAATAGAAAAATGAAAAGGCCATGCAACACAGGGCACCATCTCTCACACACTGTGGAAACAGCTTCACCTGGGAACAGACAGCGCTTTGGAACTGGTGTATTGGAAATTCTTCCAAATCATATAAAAATAGGTCTAAAAGATAAGTTATTCAAAGGAAAGGAATAAAAATCCCTGAGTAGGCCAAAGACAACAGACAAAATAATCTAAGAAGATAAATGACCCACGACCAGAGTACGTAGTACACAGGCTAGGTATTTTTATGCTACAGAGACATACAGATCCACGAGAGTGAGAACTCATCACGTTCACACACCACCAAACCGATGCTTAGAACCAGCAAAGATGAATTTCAAAAGATCAAGCACTTTTATGACAGAAATACGTATTTGGGATAGGATTCATCCTTTCGGTTTAACACCGCAGCGGCCACCTACACCAAGCTACACCAAGCCCTCAGTGACACTGTCGCATGGACAGGTGGACGAACAGAAGGATGAGTCTGAACAGGAGCAGCACCTCTTCCCCACTCCTGTTGGGCTTCAGAAATGTGTGGCTCCAGGAGCACAGATGCCATGGCCTCCTCTACAGCGGCAGACGTCAGCCCAGAAGCCACGGAGCCATTTCGCGTGATTCAGAAGGAGCGCAGGCACGCCGGCCTGGGACCACGAGTGACCTTGACTGCCGGGGACTTAAGGGCAAACAAAATAAAATATTTTAACATTCGGGAGCCCAAGAAATACGGACCTATTCATGTCAGTGCATGTTTTACCATATGACCTATTTCACGTCTGATGAGGTTGCTGACAAAGTAACTGTACTTCTGTGCAGAGTTAAGTTTGAGACTGGAGACACCTGTGAACTTTAGGCTTCTTAGAGGCTTTTTCTTCCAACAGAAGTTGTTGAACTTTGGTGATGAAAACAAAATAATATAATAGCTTCATTAATTGTCCTTTTATCTTCAAATACTTCACACCTTAGGAAATGTCCTGAAAATACTTTTTAATTTTTCCATTTCCTTCTCTAAAAATAGTTTATAATTGAATCTGTGAACAAAGAAATATGTTTTTAAATTATCGCCATAAAAAGATTTCCCCAAGTTATTATGCATCTGAGCAGTAAACCTAAGAAAAATCCTTCAAGACTAGTATTTGTTTTCATGAAAAACTTGGGAACAAATAAAAAAACAGAAAGGGAAGAGGGTTGGGTATTAAATAATTTAAAACTTTGACCCAAAGTGACATTCTCTATAGTTACAAGCTGGTAAGTTAAAAAATAGTGGCATAGAGCTAGAGCAAACTTGTTCTCGGGATTCAGTAATCTCATATGAAATATTTATTCATAGAGTAGAACCATTATGCCAAAATATAAGAAATCTGAAGACTGCCTCTTTGGGACTTGAGAATTTCCTAAAAGCATCCTGCATTTTCTGTTTACAATGGAAATAGCACTGAAAGAGCCTGTTGTCTACATGGACTTTAATTTACTACAACCCCAAATTCTGCCCACAGTGGAACCATCAACTCTAAACAGTTCTGTGAAGATGTGAGAAAACGGTGTAGAGGCATAGAAATAGATAAGCACAGGTAACGAGCCCCGCTTTAATATTTACTTCTACACACACACAACCGTACACACGCACTGCGGTGACTCATGATTCTTCTCGTTCATTTAGTTTCCTCAGTTCCCTTTTGGGCACAGAAATTTTTAGCAAATACAGTATCTGAAGGAGGAAGGAATTCTACGGCTCGGGCCACGAGAACAGGCGACTTCAGTGAACCTGTGGATTCTGAAAAGTGGCCTCGCTTCTTGGGACAGACAGGATGTCACCATTCACACGGTATCCCGCGGACAGGCCGGAGGGTTCAGGGCTCAAAGCCAGTCCAGGCGACCCTGGGGGATCCGCCCTCAGAACAGGGTGGAGGATAACTGGTTCTCAACGAAAACATTTTCTTCTAAGAACCGCGAAGGTCAGAGTTATGATACAGGTACGTATAGTTTATGAAAGTGACCATTTTTGAAAAGCAGCAATTGGTTTAGGGGGAGGGCGGGACACCATGGTGGGAGTGCACCAGGGCTGAGGCCCGCAGGCCAATGACCGATGACCATGACGGCAGAGGCTCTGGGACGCAGCTGGAGTCGGGCGAGTTATCCGCACCCTGCTAGTCCATACCAGTCCGTGACCGCTTTCTCTGTTTTTTACAAAGGCAATAGATGGGAAATACAAATAAACCTAGGGATAAAAAAGTAAAAGACAGGTAATTAGGAGGAGAGGCACTGAGGGTTATACATATGAAGATTCCTGCATTAGTTTATTTGCAAACTCCTTAGAAATAATCATGATTTAGCACCACACAGGGAAGACGGGAGATACCTACAAGATGCATTTATTTCTATAAAACCTCATCCTTTGTTATTTTGCTGCAGTGCCCTTCCCTCTTTGACACACTCAGTAATACCAGTTTAAACATGGAAGAACACTTCCTACCAGCTGTCAAGCCTCAGGGTCTAGAGCCATGTGCCGGCTGCAGGCAGAATAACGTCCTACTAAAGAATGTGGACTGCGCAGAGGCTCCAGTCCAGGTTTTTATGGCTTATGCCATCCAACGAACTTTAATTTCCTCATGTATAAAATGCAGATCATAATGTCTACTCCAGAAAGTCCTGACTCACAGCAAGAGTGTCACTATCAAGTACTTCATAATTCTACCTAGCCTGCACAAGCATCAGTTGCTAAATAGTTTACATACAAAAATGATCTTAGACCAAAAAAAAAAAAAAAAAAATCCCATCATTATACAGAACAATCACCAAAGCAGCTGCTATCCAAATCTTTGAACCTCCGGAAGGCAGCAGGCATGACGTGAGAACTAACTAGAGATGTGATCCCCAGGCCACACCCCACAGAGTCAGGAATGGTGGGCAGGAGCGGCTGTGTTTTAAACAGCCCTGTGGTTATTCTACAGAATGCTAAAATCTGAGGAACTGCTCCTTTGACATTCGTATTTTACTATGCTTACATGCATGAAACCATATAAGAGTTCGACCAGCCATGCTCAAGTACATGTTGGGGGTAAGAATGTATATACATCACACCCATTCTTTTCACACAAGATCTCTTTCACTAGGCCAACACAAAGACTTGGCCATGCAATTCAGCCTCCTTTCCTCAGCGGTCCAGCTTAAACTCAGAACTGAAAAACAAGTCTAGTTCGCTTAACTTTTTCACTAAAGTACTAGCTGCATTAACTTGATATTAAAAGTGGATGACATAATAATGCTTTAGAAGATACACAAATCAAAGTATCCATAGACAGACACAAAGTATACATGCGTCAAACACATCCTACAGGAAACATGCTCCTCCTGGACAGTGGCCTGAGGCAGGTACAGGACAGGAAGTGTGGGCCTTACTACGCAACACCCACTGTTACATTTCCGCTGACTCTGCCTCTGGCCCGAGAAACCCAGTCTGAGACACATTCAGTGTTTCTTACCGATTACAACTGCTATGGCCCCTAGTGCTAATCCCAAAACCAGGATTAGAGGTGCAACGAATAATTTTCCAGCTGGAAAACAGAAGAAAAAAATGAAGAGTCTCAAAACAAATTTACCAAATATCACAGCAATGCTTTTAAATACCACAGCAAATGTTATTTTTTAGTAAGATGGATTACAATTAAGGCTACAAAGATGTATCAAATGCAGGACAGATACACACACATGAATCCATCATGGAGTTTCACTCAAGGGACAGTCAATCCCTGAAGTCGTGGCACATGTGCCTTTATGAGGATAAAGCACTGATTCTTTATAACTAAAACATATTCCTAGGTGACTGGCTCAATTTAGTCTACCAAGACCAATCGTTTTTGTGCTTTTCTCTTGCATTTCTTTCCTTTTTAATTTTTGAGAGGTTGAAAGATTATGAAATAACTAACACATTTGAGTTGGCAGGGATAAAACCTGGTTAGCTCACCGAGTGGAGAGCTAGGTATCTGTTTATGTGTGTATATTTCTCCTCCCACCCCCTCTGTGTGTGTGTGTGTGTGTGTGTGTGTGTGTAAGGGCTGTGTGTGAGGCTATGTTCCTGAAGAAAAGAGGGTAAAAAGTCAACCCACAGAAGGGTTTACATTTGGGTGATTAAACTTGGGTATCTATGGATTGGGAGCTTCTGATGCTCATTCACTAACTGGTCACTGTTACGATGATTAATACACTAGAAGAACATACACAATGACACCAAGTACGCAGACAGGTGGAACTCCGCTAAGGACTCTGAAATGTGTGGTGGCCACTGTTTATTCTTATTGGCCTGTCTGGATTGTGCTCGTGTAATGTGGTACTGCAGGTACTTCATGAATGAAATGAGGTTGGATGTAAAACATGCTCCTCGATGCTGCCCCACAAAAATAGTGAGACGCTGTTCTACTTATCAAGTAGCTTACAGTAGGGCTTCAGAAATTTAAAAGCCTAATGACTTCAAATTTTTGCAGTGTAATTAATAATTTACTTCTCAAACAAAATCTGCTTACCAATATAAGTAGTTTCTTGCTAACAACTTTTTCTTTTTCTTTTTTTGAGACAGGGTCTCACTATGTAGTTGAGGCTGACCTAGAACTCACTGTGTAGCCCAGGTTGGTCTCGAACTCACAGTGATCCTCCTGCCTCAGCCTCCCCAGTGCAGGGATTACAACAGGCATGTGCCACCACGGCCGGCTAACAACTTTCTCAATTTAAAAAAAAAACTCCTGGTGAAGCTTTCAAGTCTAATCAGAGAAACAGAGGCAGATGGGGAGGTGAAGGGGAGAGGGGAATGGGAGACGGAGAGCTAGTCTCCTGCTCCGGAATAAAGGTCCTACAGAGTACCCAGCACACAGCAAGTTCTCAGAATCATGGGCTTTTACAGTTCTATTATCATGACTTCATCTTGAAGAGGATTCCACAGGCAAGGAGGATACTCACCACAGACCGACCCTCGCACTAGTCTCCGCAAATGGGGTCTCTCTGGGAGGTAGCGAAATTTGCATCCAAATATACTGAGGTTTGATGTGTGGTCTCCAAAAAACCGGAGTTGGCGGTATCTCTCCCCACACCGGTAGCAAAAGTTAGTGTTGCACTGTGAACAGGTCATGTGGTCACAACCTTCGGTTTTCTGGATGTGGATCTGCACCCAAGAAAGGAGGCAGAGAAGGAAGGGTTATGAAAGCTCTTAGAGAGTGAAATCCAGCAGATTTGATGAACAACCCTTGAAAATTTCACCAAAATGCAAGTCGTGTGGCACTCCGGAGGTTGCTGATCTGCTTATAATCACAACCTGCAAGATTCTATCTTTACCGAATACGTCTGCGCATGCAAAGCGCAGGAACACTTCACGTCCTCATGGTGTTGGCGTGTGTTGACCAACACATCAACAAACACTGCCAGGGAAGTTCCACTTGTCTGTGCTGACATAAGCTCGGCTCGGTGGTTAGGAAACAATGCTGCGGAAGTGTATTTTCTTCATGCTATGATCAACAAGGGCGGGTGGCTTGGAAGAGTGCTCCTTAAGAGAAGGGAGCCTGGGAAGCTTCGATGAGTAAACATTAAGGGGCAGAAATTTCTCTGCTGAAGGGCACAAGGTAGCAGACGTGTACACATCTGCATCACTATCCCATTTGTAGCTACAGTAGGATTTGTAAGTACACTGTTTACAGGACCCTTTCTACAATGCTCTCCCTGTAACCAAGCACCTTGCTGTTGCACACAACTTCCGGTTATACACAACTGAAGCTTCAGCCCTGATGTAAGGGCTGGACTCCTGGAAGACTCTTCCTAACCCAAAGGGAGGACACTGTTTCAAGGCCCCAGGCCCCATGATCATCTTGTTACTGCTCCTTGGGATATAACTGTGTGTTCATATATGTGGTGTACAAACTCAGATACGTGCACTCTGTATGATGAATGATCAAGGAAGTGAATGTAGAGCCAGGGATTTAGCTCAGTGGTGCCATTGCCTGCCTCGGAAGGCAAGGTCACCCAGAGTTCAGGCCCTAGCGCCCCCCACCAAGAAAAGTGAACATAGCATTACTTAACACTGTCTAATCACGGAAAAGTCCTTTGGTTTCACTGCCCAGTTCTCAGGTGGACGGAATGGGATCTACGCTCTTCCCACCTTGGTACAGAGCAAGTGCTCACCACAGGCGGCCACATCTCTATTTGTTCACATATTTACAGCAAGTGCATTTGAGTAGCCATTCCATTATACGTGATGAAATGCATACAATGGAGTGCATATGTCATATATATGGCTGTGTGTGTAGATGAATTCTTAGCTTTGAAATTTTATCTCCTACTGTAAGTTTCTATCCGTGATTCTGCTTGAGAACTACAAGACAAGTGAATGCTATAATACAACTGGGAACTGTACGATTAACACATAGTGGGGCCCTCCAGAGTTTGTCTGATTCTCTTTCATTAAGCCTGGGCCAGAGTTTCCAACTCCTCATGTTTCCCTTGCAATTATGCTCTTCTTCACCTAATGCACAGTATAATGCTGTGAACTCTGGTAGAAATGCAATTGTTTTTGTTTGGATTTTTTTTGGTACTGGGGATTGAACTCGGGTCCTTGCACTTGCAAGGCAGGCCACCGAACCACTGAGCTGAATCCTGGGCCCACAGAAATGGGATTACAGTGGCTCTTTTGAAAAGCTGGTCAGTGATTACGGTGAGGGGACAAAAGTCATCCAGGCAGAAAGGAGATCTTGCGAAGAGGGAAATTAAAAAATTGAGAGATGAAGAAAATTACTCATTTCAAAGCATAAGCTTATTGTACAGGTTTAAGGAATACAAATTTTTGGAGTTGTTAACTCCAGACAATACAAAGGATTTCAGTTTTGTGATTAAACTGCATTAAATATTTAACTATTATTACTACATGTTTGTAGTACATAATGACTGTATTCAATGTAGAGAGGTGGTACATGTACATAACGTATCTTAGTTCTTACATCTCATTAAACCCCAATTTAAAGAAATATGAACTTAAACAGGACCTGTGAGACTGTAAAACAATGGTAGACGTTAACCATAGTAGGGGCAATATTTTCATTCAAAAATACACATAGGCACAAATCTGTTAGTCTCTCATCAGACAGACAGAGCTAGCTTGTGGCCAAAGGCAGCTGAGCCTCTGCTCCAGGCTTACTAACAAATCATGATGTAGGCTCGTGTGCTCATAGATGGGGAGCTGGTTGGATCTAGGGTGGGTGATACTCGGAGTAAGGATGTGGTTCGGAAGTAGTCCACTGATTGGAATCAGCAGAGTTCTGGGTGTGGATAATGGGAAGGCCCACCCCAGGCATAGGTGGTACAACCTAAAAGGACGGAAGCCTGGATGGGATAAAAGGGGAAACAGGAGGCTTGGCTTTCCTGCTGCTGCTTTGCTGCCTTCTGCCCACCACACCATAAACTGTTTCTCCTCTTCATGCCGCTCTGCCATGCTGCCATGTCTTGGAGCCAGCTGACTATGGACTGAAACCTCTACTATGAGGTGAAATAAACCTCTCCTCATTTATTTTGTGGGTACTGGATATTTTGTCCCAGCAAAAAAAAAGTAACTAAGATATATGCAATAAAAACAATTTAAACATTCTCGGCCACGCCCTCCCCGCCATCTTCAGCGCCAGAGGGTCTTCTTGGCTGTGCCCTCCCCTGCTGGTGCTGCCGCCACTATCTTTAGCGCTAGATAGGTAGCCACGAGGGCATCCTCAAACACCCCGCCAACCTTACCCCTCGCACTTTTAGACCTCCTGATTTTACCAATCTTTGGACCTACTCTGTAGAGGTAGAGGTGGTCACAAACAATATTTTCTGGCACTTTCAACTTTGAACATCTTTAAAGTGGTGGGGAAACTTATAGTAGAACTGAGTGGAGTTCAGCCCTTCAGGAGGTCGGGGAACTCAGTCTGGGCCTTGCATCTCAGTCTGCTTTGTGGGGTTCTACCACCAGCTAGCTGAGGTCAGGGGCTCGGCTCTGCAAATGGCAGCACATATTGTATATTATGACAGCAGTGACATAGTCTGAAAGAGGCCCTTTAAACTCATTTTTCTTTTCATCCTACTCTGCAAATTCTTTTTCCTTTTTGTTTTTTTTCTCAGTCTCTTACTCCACTATAGTAACCCTCATCTCCCTTTTTGTTTCTGCTCTTGTCTTAATTCAGATTTCTTCTTTTATTATTTTTCTCTTTTATGTTCTTTTCTTATGTTAGTCTACCTCACTCGAGGGTTACAATATTTCTATTTTGTTTGTTCTTTTTGAATTTAACAATTTCCTGACGATTGTCTGGTCATTCTACATCTTTTGGATTCATATGAAACCTTCTCTAATTTTTATACTTATCTACTCCTCTTGTCTTAACTTTGTTTTAAGCCCCCATTGTAAATGGTAAATATCCTTACTGAAAAGTTTATTTACTGTAAGCATATTATGGATTGCTTCTTGATTTTAATTAAATTCACATGGTTTGAAGGTGATAGATTGATGACTACCATGAGTGGTCAATTTGCAAATTGTGCTTCATTATATGGTGGTGCTGATTGTATCAATTAGGATAAAGGATTGTGATTGATTCAATGAGCTGTTTTCTTCAGTATTATGAAAATGAGAATGTCTGTGAGTCATTAGAGACCCATGGGCTGCAGCCCAACTATATCAGGAAGATTAAAGTAATAATCTAAAGGTTAAACTAAGGATAACCCAACAACAATAGTAAAAATGAGAAAACGCTTAAGCAAGATACAGGGACAGACTTCCAGTTCACCAGTGGCAAATAGTGGGGCAAATGAGGATGAAAAGTCTGACAGTTAACCAGCAGGACACCCTGGACCCATAGCACAGGAAGTAACAAAACAGATCAATCAGGCTCTAGAAAAATTCAAATCATAAATAATTTCCCAGTTAACCATAGAGATGATGAGCAAAATGGAACTCATGATTCGAGACTCTAGAATAGAAAATGACAAAAAAAAGATGAGCTCAAGACCATGATAGAAGCCATGAAGACTCAGCATAAGAAAGAAATGGAAACAATGAATGCCCAATACAAGAAAGAAATGGAATCCATAGGACAGATTCAAACAGATACCCAGGAGATTAAAAACTCCATTGAGAGTGTTCACAAAAGAATAAAAGAGTCCAAAGATAGAATCTCAGATATGGAAGATAAAATTGCAGTCAGTGACTGTGAAAAGAGAGGTCTCTTAAAAACAGTAGGGGATCATGAGAAATTGATACAACAACTATTAGACAATACTAAGAAGAATAGCATAAGATTGAAAGGAATTCAAGAAGTAGTAGGAGAAAATGTAAATAACTTAAAAAAACTGTTCACAGAATTAATTATAGAAAACTTCCCAAACAGAGGGGAAGAATTTGACATACAGATAAGTGAGGCACAGAGGATTCCAACTAGCTGTGATCAAAAAAAATTCTACACCTAGACATATAATCAAGATCCCAGAAATCCAACAGAAGAACAAAATACTACAAGCAGTAAGAGACAACAAATTACATACAAAGGAAAGCCTATCAGAATCACAGCAGACTTTTCAATACAAACCCTTAGGTTAAGGAGAACCTGGAATGAGATATTTCAAGTACTAAAAGAAAACAACCTCCAACCTAGACTGATGTATCCTGCAAAACTTTCTTTTAAAATGGATGGGGAAATAAGATATTTCCAGGATAAAGAACACCTGAGAAACTTTATGAATACCAAACTAGCACTACAAGGAATTCTCAACAATATCCTAGAAAAAGACAATGAAGGTAACAACACAATGAGGCCCAACAGAGCAAATCAAATAGGCAAGGCAAGAAACTAAAAGGAGAAGGTGGAAAAAAAAACAAAAAAAACATGATTAATAAGTTAGTACATATTGGTTATAATCATCACTATTAATGGCCTCAATTCACCAATCAAGAGAAATAGACCAGCAGAATGGATTAAGAAGCAAAATTCAATAATATGTTGTATACAAGACACGTCTAGTGTAAAAAGAAGCCCAAAGACTAAAAGTGAAAGGACAGAAAATTTCTTCATGTAACAGGAGCTCCCCGCCACCCCTGAAGAAAAAAAAGCAGGGGTAGCAATCTTATTCATAGACAAAGTTTCAAACTTAAACTGA